CTTTGTAATGACTGAATCACAAGTTCTGGGAATGTCTGTAAATATCATAGCAAAAAGTTTGAATTTCTTGTTCTTTTTTCTGCTGCTTCTTTTTTATTACATGATAACTCACAAAACAAAGCAATGCTATCAACCAATTGCACTGAAGTGATATAGTTTCAAATGGAGTATTTGCTTTTATAAGAATTATTAACTAGCAATAATTTAAAAAAAAAATCATATTATCATTACCCCTTGAAGTTAACTATTTACAGAAATTACCAGCCAATAACAGATAAACAATAAATATTACAGTTTTTTAAAACTTGGTCATAAATACAACCTTCCTATGTCTATTGAAACACTGCATTAAAAAAACCAAGCAAACAAGTAAAAAAAACTTGTCAAAAAAGGAAATAAATGTAGAGACGGCTAATATCAATCCTCCAAAAACAATGAAAACAAGATAGTAGGGATGGCATTTGCATCATCCCTACACAATATCACAGGCACACAGTGTAGTAGAATGTTAACATACAAAAATAGGATAAATCAAGCTCAATTGTGATTGAATAGTTACATATATTGCTTATGTTAATTCTTTCAACCAAAATCCAAACCAGGAAGGTAAAAGCATTTGGATATCCATTTTTTCAAATGATGTAATTATAAGTATGTCACACTAAAGTCCTCCATACTCCTGAAACACCACAACTATATTGATCACAGCAGACACCAGAAAGCAAGAGCTCAGCAACAAGTACACAGTGAAAATACTTAGCCAAAGCACATGAAACTTGGTACAAACTCTCTCTATTTTTTTAAATGCATCAGAAAGTTTCATTTTATATAATTAATTAGTTTTAAGTTGTTTCATTCATATTCAAATGTTTCTTTTGATGAGATATACATAGGATGACTGTAAACAGAAAAATAACTTTTAGTAACAGTTACCTTTATAAAGCAGAACAGTCACTACTCATTATACAACACACACACTCTACTGTGTATATAATTAGACATTTGTCAATTTTCTCTAAACAGTGAAGTAACATTCTTACATATGCAGAAAAGAAAATGCAAATTAAATGTTACATAATGCTGAAATACTAATTCTAAAATACCATCAATAATAAAGTTGTTGAAATACTTATTTTTTAATTAAATTTTAAAATGCAGATATGTATTTGACACCTGAAAGGCACACATAGATGTAATAAGGGCTGAACCAGGTGCTAACAGTATGTGTTTTTTAAGAACTTAATCTCTTTACCATTGTGCAGGTATGATGAAAAAATTCTTGAATTATCTTCATTACCTGTGAACAGATGCACTGCATGAGCAGTACACCCACACATATTAGAGGTTGTAGTTGTTTTAAGCACAGTGCTACACAATGGGCTACATGTTCTCCATCCACCACACTGCACATACTCATTCATCAACAATTCTCAAGAAAATTTTATATTGACTGCATTATCAGAACACAATATAGTCAACATTTATAGAATAAGTGCAGCATTTTAAAGAATTTCTATACTACATGCTTTCAACATTGTATAAAGGATGTTACTTGTGTAAGTAGGATTAGCAAATAAGCAATCAGGATCTCATTTTCTTGTCAGCAATGTTATATCCAAATGGTTCCCACACTTAGAATATTCCCTCACTTTTCCTAGATCTTTCTATTTGATCTATTTTTGTAATGCATTATTAAACTACGATAATCTGTGAAATTGTAAAACATTATTCCTGTATTCTTTAATACAGACATGACAAGATGTATGTTGAGTCACAGTATGCTTAAATGTCATCTTGCAAAGTTTCAATATTATAGGTCAAGCCATTCTCTAATTACTCATACTTTATAAGAAAATACATAACAAAGGCTCTTTATCGTTTTGTTTATGAATCACATTTTTTAAGTTTAACTTAATTCCCAAAAACATTATTACAGCATAAACAAATAAAATCTGCACATACTACAGATCTTAACAATTGCAACTATTACATTTTGACTTTTAGTAAACAGAAGAAACATGCATATTGTTGTATTATGATGTTAATACGTCAAATATTTATTAAAAAAATATTTTCTTATGTGAAAACATGCAAAAGAATGTTCAAACTTTCATTTGCTCACTATACACTGTAGTGAACTCATATTTCTGATATCTATAAAACAAGTGGACACATTAACCAAATTATCCTCTAATTCAATGCACATTGCATTATTTTCATGCATGCTTTGAAACTGTGCATAGGACTACTGACATAGGGACTGTATTATTAATGCACTAAAATTTATAGGATCAAAATAAGTTATTTAATGGAACTAGCTTACCTCTAAATTGAATTTGTTAAGGGCTTTAATGTAGTAGTAAAATGATTCTTCATGACCCAATTACAGGAAGACAAGATGAAGCCTTTTCCCGAGCCTTTACACTAGCTACTGTTTACTTAATCTATTGCAACTTCCTTCTTACTTCATAACAATTTATGGTAAGCAAAAAACTCAAGGTAGATAAAACAATGCATAAAATACAAATTGATGTGCTAAGTGCACCAGAATTAATTTATATGTAATTTTTTACACTAATGATTATTCTTTCACCATCATTGTCCTAAAAGCATCACTGAATCACATGAAATTCACTGACTTTTCCCATTTTTGTCTGTAAAATTCAATTTATTGATGGTTTCCAAGTCAGGTTGTGAGAAGATCTTGAAATGTTTAAGCAACAATGTGTATATACAAAACAGAGAAACACTATCAAAAGTTATTGCATCATACAGTTGTAGGAAGAGTATCATAAGATCTTAGTTCATCATGCAATTCCAGTGGATGATGTTTAGTAGGCTTTGGATTTGAATTTCAACAGGATAATTATCCACAGTACAGTCTTATTGAGTAAGAAGTATTCAGAGAAGAAAGGTGCTGTAAAAGTAATAAACTAGCCAACCCAGAGTCACATTTGAAAATTTGTGGCACAAGTTGAAAATTAATGCTGCAAAACACAAGTCAACTAATTTAAGGCAACTTTGAAAGATCGTACAGCAAAAAGTGGAAGATACTGGTTGATAATTTAAAAAATAAAATATTCCAGTAGTATCAAAGATTGATTGACATACTTATATATATTAAGGTTGAAATAAAAATGACTAAATACTGATTACATAGTTTGTTATTCTTCAAAATAATCTTCTTATGCCTAATTGTAACACTGGGTATAAATATAACATATAAATAAAACAAATCTTTTCTCTTGCAACCTTTAATGAAAACGTGTTAACATTTTTAGCTAAAACTTTTGAATGATACTCAATACTACACACTAAATAGAAGTGTCAAAGAATGGGTCAAATTTCTGTATAAATTAAAAGCACTTTTGTAGCTGTGAATCAGCTAAAATAAAAGCATTCTAAATTTTTATGAGCAATTCTCATATCTGAGCAACATTCTAAAAATACTTATGCATCACTATGTTGAGTTCTAAATGCTTTAAAAACTCATAGGAGAATGTTTACCTGCTTATGGACACTTCCTTCAGATCTGGTTTTATGAGTCTCTACTACATGAAATCAGGCCCATTAACTTGTTTCACTTAAAACTGCAATATAAAATTACCTAATTTCTGAAAAATAAAAAAGAAGAGTTAAATGTGTATAAAAAATAATGAATTACAAACCTAGTAGTAATTTGGCCACATATCGTACTTGATTACCCTGCACCAAAACCTGTGTTCCTTTCTTTGTAACAGAGGGTCCAACACTAGTGCTTGCTGCAATACCAACTTGAATTTGGTGAGCTAACTTTGTAGGGTCAATACCAAAAGTTTCCAGGTTGTATAACAAAGTCACCTAAACATTAAAATAAATAGTGAAACAGAACATAGTGTTTATTCTAAAGTACTAAACTTAAATTTGGAGACAAAGAATTTACTTACTGAAATCCTAATGAAGCATTGAAAACAATGTCACCAATCAAAAATAACAATGAGCAAAACACCATATAAAAGTGTGATCAATAACTCCTATAAAGAAACAATGAAAAAATTTAAGAAAAACTTATCAAAATTTGAAGGCCCCAAATAAAATTACAGTGCAAGAGATGTGACCTTAGAAAGATTTAAAAAATTAAAATTTGGCTTGGATTTGAGTAACTTTTAATCTGTGGAGTTCTAAGCTCCTTAGAGAATTACAGTATTAGATGAAAATATAAATTATAACTTAACTAAATGGCTTGTTATTTTTTTTATAAGTAATGATGTCTATAATCTCTAGTCCATACAGGACCAGATCTGTTAATTAAACAGACCTGGATTTTGCATCTCTAAAACAAATCAAATTAATCAAATCTATATAATGAATATGTAATTTATTGTGTACAAAAGTCATACTAATATACAGGTTGATTAGAAAAAATGTTTTGCAGCTCAGCATGTCATATCTCACAAATAGTATGGCTTAGGAAAATGAAACTGCACAATCTGTATGAAAATTAACACAAGACTTTATAATGAATATATATGTATTTTGTTCAATAAAATCACAGCATACTTAGTGTTTGTATAGATTTCTAGCTTCTGAAATTTTAGAAATTTAGTTGTACTAAATAGTAGAATGTCCATTAACACAGAATATTGCCCATTACTTTACTACAGAATGAAACCAACTAACCTAATTTCTAAAAATATAAAAAGAATTAAACATGTAAAAACCAGAAATAATTACAAAACGTAGCAGGTGCTTACTAATGTAGTAAAGCATTATTATTTTGAATTAAAATTAGAAGTAGACATATAAAAAAGTTCCATTTGAGGAGATCTCACATAATACATGCTTATCAACTCTAGAACCACCACACAAGTGATTTTGACTGTTTTTCATTTTTACAATTCAAATAACCCTGTACGTAAGAAAGGTACATGGTTGTCTGTTTATGATTTTTACTAAATCCACATGTTAAAAATCCCTAATAGAATTTCAAAGGCGGATCACAAAACTCAAAAATCGTTAAAATCCCTTCTACCTAGAACTTCCAAAGACTAGCCCCTTTGACTGTTCTTTGCAATACGTGATTTTATACAGTCGAGACAGCTTAGTCTGCTATGTGATCATTAGCCAATCAAATGATATGTCCACTTTCATCTCAATCTTGTTTGGTTCCTTTATTCAAGTTCAGTAGCTAGCTCTAAATAGCATTGAGTTTTTCATTTAGTGATAAATTTTTTCCTTATACTTGTTTATTTACTTTTTTTTTATAAGATGGCATACTTGGGTTACTAAGTTATAGATTGTATTCTAAAGCTTTATAAATTTTACATAGAATAATAATAATAAAATAGGTAATAAAATATCGTGAAGACTGTTTTGCTCTTTCAAATGATAATAAAATTATAATTACTTCTAGAATTAGGTAGGCATTAGGCCTGTTGAAGGAAGATGATAATGAACGAAAATAAGAATTCTCAGTTTTGGTCATTCACCGGTTTTTGACTTTGGGATGCTCTGGATAGCTGAAACGTAACATACATGCCAGATATAAAGCGACTATGCCAGGTACTCTTCATATCTAGTACATGACGACTCATAGAGAAGATAATCCAGATGATATTTGTATTGCTTTAATGTGGACGTCTATGCTATCCCTACATAAAGAGTGCTAGTGCACTCTCTGATATGTAACAAATACAATTCACTATTTTTTTATCTTGCAAGTAGCCTGTAGTTTCAAAAATGGCTGAAAGAAGATGTCCACTCAACAAGTTATTCAAATGCTTACAACTTTGTCAGAAGATTATTCTGATATAGGGAGTGCAAGTGAGCATGATAAAGCTATGAGTCCTGGATTTGTGAAACATCACTGCAAATGAAAGTGAGGAAAGTGCAACTACTGCAAGAACAGCTCTCCAGAGGCATACAAAATCATGGAAGAAACAGCAGTCCTAGGGAATGCTCTGCAGTACCAGCTGTTTTGCCAGTATTGCCTCCTGCAGTAGCTGCAGGTGCTTCATCTATGTCAACCACTTCACCAAAAATAACAGTACCAAGCACAGCATCACTAGTACAAACAGGCATTCAGAAAACTGGGAATTATGGAACTACTTAAGAAATTATAAGTCATGGCATTGAGACTGTGAGAAGATGGGTTATACAAAATGTTTTCACTAAAACTTTGGGTACCAAGCAATAGGCAACATTGATAACTCTCTCAGTGTTTTCTTTTATTGAGTGATATGCAAATGCTACACCACATATTGAAGCAGAGGCACACAGGGTACAGAATGATGATTCCCAAGAAATATCTTTGGAAGAATTACAAGCATTTATTGCATTATTGTATATTTGTGAAGCTAACAGTGAGAAAGGCATTTACTTAGAAAGCTTTTCATCTGTTCAATGAACAATTCTTTTTTTTTTTTAGAGACAATGTAATGGAATCGTTAGAGATACCTTGAGAATTTTGCATTCTGATTTGAGAGGAATGAGAAATATCTGACTTGAGACAGGTAACTTTGCCCTGGTGTCAAAAATTTGGAATGGCTTAATTGAAAAGAGCATTGCCTGCTACAAGATAGGTGAGATCATTACAGAAGATGAAAAGCTATTTCCCACAAAAGTATGGTATCTCTGAACACAATACGTGGCAAACAAATCAGAGAAATTTTGAATCAGGTTTTGGCTTGCAGTAGATGGTGCCTCAAAATAAACTGTAAATGGTGGCCCCTACCTAGGGAAAGATGAAACTTAACCAGCTGGTCAGAGACTGGTTGACAGTGAGGTACTCAAGCTGATGGCACTATACTTGGGAGAAGTGAGGAAAGTTTTTATTTAAAGTTTTGTATGTAACTGTTTATCTGCTAAATTATTTTAATATATTTATCATAAAATTTAATTTATTGAAGAAATCATTATGTACAACTGTTCAATTTCATATGGTTTAAGCTGTTTGATTTGATAAGCCTAACTAAAACTTTTCAGTTGTATCTGATAATCTGTCTTTTAATTTAATGCAACTGTAGTATGGCAGTATTAGGTATGAGTACTATCCCAGAAGCTCTAGTGTTAAAAGCCATGACAGAAGTACAAAATTAAAAAACTAAGAAGCAGCAGCAAAAGAGAGAGAGAAAGTACACAGTACATAGCTGAGGCCCCTACAAATACTACAAAAATGAAAGTTTTGACTTTTTTCAATTTTTATTTATAAAATTAAACAAATAGATAACTATCATATAATGTTTTAGCACAATGTCCTACACTGTTTTCTGGTATAAAATTATAGAAAAATATGAGAATTATATATTTTTAAACTAAATCTTGAAACAGGTACATCTGGATCTGCATATGGATTGATCTCACCTGACAGTGAGCACAAAAAATGTTACTATGAAATATGGAATTTGTAAAATTTTAGCAATTTTCACAATTTGGAAAACTGAAACCTACTGATAAATCGGATAAACAGAGTAAAATTTAATGAAAGCACAACGTTTCACCTGGTCCTGGTGAAACATTGTACTTTCATTAAATCTTTCATTAAAACATCCTTTAGAGAGTTTCAAAAAACTCAGCTCCACATAGCAAAGACAATTCTTGACATCAAATTTCTCAAGAGATGTCGTGACCATAACCTTATTCCAAAGTTCTTAAACTGTTTGCTAGTTCTGCTAAACAACCATTCTTGGAAAATCATCAATGATATGCAGTTCAAATTATTATGTGAACACATCTGTATCAAATACAGTTCCCTATCAAGACTGTCTGAAGTTTCCTTACAGCAGAGTTCCATTCTAAAGTCAGTGCTGTCTCCTACTGACATTCACACCATTACATGCATTATGGATCAAAACACCAAGAATCTAAAGAAAACTGTAAACAAATGACATGGAAAAACATTCTGACTATTAAAATATCAGTCTCAAAATTCTCCGACTCCAGCAAATCAACATCAACAGAAATCTGGTAAAAAACAAATTGTTTTTAATGTATTTAAACGAAAACTTTCCAGTGCTGAAACCAAAATGTTAGAAAAAGGGTTTAATTTTGCCATTTCTCCTAAAAACTTTCCTGTCTTGGAACTAAAAAGTGGTCTGGAAGATCTTGCCCGGAAAATTGCTGTAAAAAACAGGTCTAAAGATCATGTTTATAAACAGATTTCAAACGAATCAAACCAATGTGACAACCTCACCTCTTCATCACAAGTAATTAAATTACCTTATTTTCTATCTGATCCTTCCATATCCTTTCCACATATTTCCCTTAATAATCCTATTGCTAAAATAAGAGTTTTCAGCTAAAACTCAAACAATAACTATCACAAAATTAGACCAAACTTCAAACCTCCTGAGATCAGTGCAAGAAAATCCCTAAAGAAGGATAGTAACATCATTTTGTTAAAGTCCGACATAGGTAATGCAGTGGTAGTCATAGATCATACTGACTACGTCACAAAAATTAATGAAATTTTACATGACAAGAATCATTTTAAATTACTGAAAGAAAACATAACACCCACCTGTAAAAAGAAACAATGCTCATTTTTATTACAACTAAAAAAGTCCAAGTCTCTTACTGATCCGCTATATAATTTTCTCAGACCATCTGACTCGTGTACCCCACAAATTTACAGTCTTCCTAAAGTTCATAAACCTATTTATCCTCTAAGACCTATTGTATCAGCCTTTGGGGCATTTAATTTCAACCTAGGCAAATACCTAACGTGGATATCTTTTCCTTATGTCAGCAGTGCCTCATCTTTTATATAAAAAAAACGAAGAATTTGTGAACAAACTTTAACATTTCGACACACTTTCCATTCTTGCCAGTTTTGATGTAAAAAGCTTATTTGCACAAGTACCTGTTTCTGAAGCCATCAGTCATGCTCTTGAATGTTTCAATAACGATCCCTCTCCAAGATGTTTACTCTCTTCTGAAATTTTGAAAAACTGTCTATATTTCCCAACTTCCTGTAACAACTTTCAATTTGAAGGCGTCAATTATGATCAAATAGAAGGATTAAGCATGGGAAATCCTATTGTCCCCATTCTCACAAACATTTTAATCATTAGAATTTTTTTTTGTAGTTGATGTATCTGATGATGCCAGGTTAACCTGGTGAAATGTTGTACTTTCATTACATTTTACCCTGTTTATCCGATTTATCAAGTTTACTTTTTATGTAGCAAATACCTTTTTGTTGCCCGACCTTTGAACCACAACTATTTCTATTGGCTGAAGTTCTCCTTTATACAAAACAGGCTGCTGTCCAGGAAATACTACTTCATATGCTGGTCGCATTTTAGAAATACACCTACAAAAAAAAATTCAATACATTATCAGCTCACTTGGAAGAATATAATAAAATTATATTCCATGGAGTATTTTCAGCTGTTTCATTATTAAAATAATCTACTGAAGTATTATTTTTCCATAAAAGAGTGGAAATGTGGATTTTCAAAATCAGTATTAGGGTACAGACTCATCACTTATACCTGTTAACCCGATGACTACCGGTACTAACTTTCTTAGTAGGCAATGCAAGTGTGCATTTGTGAATTGAAAAAATGACAGAGAACTTATCTTTTAATGGATTTCTG